ACACACACACACACACACACACACACACACACACACACACACACACACACACACACACACGAGGCCATGGGGCCTCGTAGCCTGGTGGATAGCGCGCAGGACTCGTAATTCTGTGGCGCGGGTTCGATTCCCGCACGAGGCAGAAACAAATGGGCAAAGTTTCTTTCACCCTAAGTGCCCCTGTTACCTAGCAGTAAAATAGGTACCTGGGAGTTAGTCAGCTGTCACGGGCTGCTTCCAGGACTCGTAATTCTGTGGCGCGGGTTCGATTCCCGCACGAGGCAGAAACAAATGGGCAAAGTTTCTTTCACCCTAAGTGCCCCTGTTACCTAGCAGTAAAATAGGTACCTGGGAGTTAGTCAGCTGTCACGGGCTGCTTCCTGGGGTGTGTGTGTGTGGTGTGGGAAAAAAAAAAAAAAAAAAAAAAAAAAAAAAGTAGTTAGTAAACAGTTGATTGACAGTTGAGAGGCGGGCCGAAAGAGCAAAGCTCAACCCCCGCAAAAACACAACTAGTAAACACACACACACACACACACACACACACACACACACACACACACACACACACACACACACACACACACACACACATATATATATATACATATTATAAATACCCACACTGGCGACAGACACCATGGGCTGCGAGGAGACTATATGAGCTTCATTCTGCTCCCGGGGGAGTTCCTGTTCACCGCGCGTGCAGTTCCTCCATAACCACAAACACTCGGTATGTTCCTCGCATCTTTATTATCTACTGAACACTCTCTCACCAGGCCCAATTTTTTTTCCTCGGCTCCAGTGAGCCACCGCAAAAAAAATATCCCTTTTTCTTATTTGCGGCACAAACAAAAAACGGACATTTTAGCAGGAGGACTACACAAAATATGAGCTGGTGATGTGCTCGTTTCGCTGTGAGACGTAATAGTTGCTAATATCATGCCTCGGTAAGGGTTTTTACCCTCGATTCCCCACTCGTAAACACGACTGTCTCATGATATCAACCCCAGTTAACGCAAGATGATATTACCCCTAGTTCACGCAAGATTATATATTCCTTTCTCCTTCCGTTTGGGAAGACAAATTTTGGATTATTTTGTTGAGGGGATTACCATCACAATCAACCCTCATCTCACCACCATTACAACCACCCCATCTGACCCTCGCCACCAACACTACCACCATTTGCGCCTCGCCACCAACACTACCGGTCACGGTACTGTGTACGTTTAAGGGGGATCCTGGACGGCATGGGTTTGAATCCTTGCCGGGTCAATTAGAGTTCTTAGTGATCAATGGCTTGCGTGTTCCTGCAGCTTTTTCACACGCACACTAGTTGTGCTTGCGGGGTTGAGCTCAGCTCTTTCGGCCCGCCTCTCAACTGCCAATGAACTGTTATTAACTACTAACTAATGATATTTTTTTTCACACACACACACACACACACACACACACACACACACACACACACACACACACACACACACACAGAGGAAGCAGCCCGTAGCAGCTGTCTAACTCCCAGGTACCTATTTACTGCTAGGTAACAGGGGCATCAGGGTTTCGCCATGGCCCTGGATCGATCCCGGGTCCCTAGATCTACGCACCCAGAGCGCTGTCCACTCAGCCACTAGGCGCCCATCAGCCACATGCGTGTGTGTAAAATGTTAACACAGAACTAACATATTAAAATGGAACAATAGGCAAACATGAATTGAAAAGATTTACGTCCGATCCCGTCATCTGGAAAAGCATGACACGCAACACGACTCATGTCACCCATAAATAACATCAATAAACATTTTTCATAGTCCAACCGGGTAAGTGACCCCTCAAAAGACTCGAACGCTTGTAAAGTAATGTAAACCCTATAACTGGGTCATCTCTCGACCCTTACAAACGCCAATACCGAGAAACAAGGGCAATTGGGCTTTTGGCACACATTCAATTGTCATCCACCTCATTGGACAGATAGGTTAAGTAATAATTGTAATTAAGAAGCAATAAGATGCTTATCTTAACATACTAAGAAGGTTAGGTGAGGTCGGTGTTTTCTATGAAGCTTTACAAGGTAAACTAAAATATTCACAATCAATTAGTATGTCACATATGCACTTATTAAATAAGCCAATATTGACTGCAAGCAAGTGTGAGAACGGGTTGCATTGGAAACTGTTTTCATTTGTAATTAACCTTATAATAACACTAGCACTTCTGTTCCTTAGGTTTAATTCCAGTTACAATTCCCATCTTGAAAGATATACATATATCTACACGAAGTCTATCGATATACCACATCAATACCAATGAAAATATCAATATTTAATCAAACATCACCACAAGGAGGCTCATATCACTTTATATCAAAGCAGTAAGTAATTTTAAGTAGTAAAGCTACTTCACCAGAAGCAACGCGACTCGCCAGAAGGAACAAGAGACTTATTACTGCGTTCGGGGGAAGGTCGAGTATAATTCACTACTCCAAAGAGTTACAAAGTACCTGTACCTTATTACTATTTGATGCCCTCGTGACCTCACCTACATCCAAGTTCCGTTTTCATCGTCAGAGAAATATTTCTAGGAATGGAGTTTAGAAACTGTCTGGCATAATGTCCTCGTGATGGTCCTCACTACCCTGCGCCTTCGTTTATCATGTACATATCTATTTCTTCTTTTGATCATAACGATGAGGTTTGAGCTCTTGGTTCAAGGCTAGAATCTAGTGCTATCCTGCAGACCAGACACCAGTGCTATCCTGCAGACCAGACACCAGTGCTATCCTTCAGACCAGACACCAGTGCTATCCTGCAGACTAGACACCAGTGCTATCCTTCAGACCAGAGACCATTGCTATCCTTCAAATGAATCCAGATTAGGACTGTGTTATAGCGAGCAGGCTGACAGCTCATAGAAAACAACACGGCAATTGTCAGAGTGAAATTTTGAAGAGACTGACTCAACAAGCTTTTAAGCAGCCTAATGCGCTAGGTTATGTTAGGTTAAGATAGGTTACGTTACGTAGGGTTAGGTTATAAGTTAGGTTAGGTTAGGTTTGTTTGGTTAGATCATGTTAGATTAGGCTAGGCTCGGATAAGTTAGGGAGTGTTGCCGAGAAATTGACGCATTCGGGACTCAGGACCATCTAATATGTTTAGGTAATCGCTGGGGTAGTTGTTACAGTATTCGAGAATTGTTAGAGACGCCCCTGGCTACCCAGGTTGGAATCCTTCAGGGGGTCATGTGATTTTATATGATTTTTATATGGGTCATATATATTTTATGGTTATTATATAATCATATAATAGTGATAACATTGCATGGGGGCCATTGAAGATTAGCGCAAGCACGCACGCACGCATGCACACACACAAACTCATGCAGTAGGGCCTCGTAGCTAAGTGAACAGCGCTCTAGAGTCGTAGTTCTAAGGGCCCGGGTTCGACTCCCGGCAAAGGCAGAAACAAATCGGCAGAGTGTCTTTCAACTTGGTGAATCTGTTCACCTAGCAGTAAATAGGAACTCGGAAGTTAGACAGCTGTTACGGGCTGCTTCCTGGAGATGTGTGTGTGTGTGTGTGTGTGTGTGTGTGTGTGTGTGTGTGTGTTAGAGAGAAATATATATAGTAGACACAATAGAGGAAAAATAAATTGTGGAGAAAGACGGGGTCCAAGAGTTAATAGCTCGATTCAGCAGATACAAATAGTAAATAGAGCAGACAGGAATTAAAACAGAACAAAAAAGAATTAACATAGAGAGGGGCGAGAACAGCAGAGTTTGGGCTCCTTCATAGTTGTGTGCTCGTATAGCAATGGAAAGAATTCACAGGCGACAATACTAAGGTGGAGTTTTGAGCGTGGACACCTCGCAAACTTTTCTAATTAAGGCAGGTGCAATGGGGGGATGGGGGCGTCGTCAGGTGAAGCATGCGTCTTATCATAAGTTTCCCATTATTAAACTCAGCCAAGCACTTTTCTCTTGATGCTTGAGGGGTGCAATAATGTGCTTTGTGTGTGTCTGTGTGTGTCTGTGTGTGTCTGAGTGTGTCTGAGTGTCTGTGTGTGTCTGTGTGTCTGGCTTTGGTCATCGGTCGTCCCATTCTGGTTAATTGCATACTCTGCTCGGTGTTCTGGGGTGATAATGCAGGAGCTGCTGAGATGTCCTTCCCTATTTCACTTCGTCCTCTCCCTATTCCCTTCTTTCGTTCCTCATTCCCTCTCTTACCCCTCCTTCCTCTCTCTCTCTCTCTCTCTCTCTCTCTCTCTCTCTCTCTCTCTCTCTCTCTCTCTCTCTCTCTCTCTCTCTCTCTCTCTCTCTCTCTCTCTCTCTACCATCCGTTCTTGCACCAACTTCTTCCATTCTTGTTCCATTTCCCTACGTCCTACCTCCATTTTCTGCTAACTCCACTCCTTCTCCTCCACCTACAACTCCATCTTCTACACTCTCATTCTCTCTCATCCACTTCCCCCCTTCCCAACACTCCCCTTTCTTCCCCATACCTATTATCTCCTCCTCTCCCCCACCCACATTCCTATCCCGTGGTGTCACAGCCCTCTCTCTCATCTCCACCACTCTACACCCATTCCTCCTCATCTTCTTCCTCACCTCGCCAGCTTACGCCCCTCACCCCTCACCCCTCACCCGTCCTCACTCCCCCTCACCCCTCTTCCAGTGCATGATGATCTGTTCATTAACTTAAGCACCTCATTTTCTTTCCGTAATATTTTCTCATTTCCTCTCTTCCTTCATCACTGCCTTAATGAATAGTATATATGCACATATACATACATATGTATGTATATATATACATTATATATATATATATATATATATATATATATAGTTTCTTTTTTTACACAGTTTTTCAGGAGGGAGATATAGCGTTATCAACTTTCTTTGTTTAGAATATCAGGTATCAGGACTTAGAGACAATCAGGGAGCCAAGATTGACTCACGCTGACAAGGGGATTCATTCCAACTCTATGAGTCTTGGACGCACTTACTCTGGGGTTTGAAGGAGATCTTTCCCGAGATGGAAGATCAGTTGGAAACAGCTAAATCGTCGTTGAAGACACAGGAACGTCAAGTGGATTTCTGAAGAGATTTAATATCCCATATTGCCTACCTTTTCCTTAAATAAGTTATGAGTTATAAGACTCAAAATGACGTAAGGCGCTCACCGTGTGATGTGAATATTATTCCTGTTTTAAGCAATAATGAATATTTCATCACTGGATGTGTGATAATATTTTTGTTGAGGACAAAAGAGCTCGGACGATGAAGAGAAAGTTATACTCTCAGCCTAAAGAGGTTTTGCAATGTGGAATCCCATTTTAGAACCAAGTACTGCTATCACGGAAATTAATATAACTAGATCTTGCATAGAAAGGAATATAATAATTAATTGAAATAAAAGTAAGTAGTGCTGTAGCTTCGACCTGTCCTTATGCTATGTTCATGTTTGTCTATTGCCTGTTTCATTCATTTCATTAAATTTTCTAAATTATTACATGTTTAATAATGGATTTTGTGCACTATCTATTGGTTTGTATGTAAAGAATAATGTGTATCTGATTGAAAAGTGGAAAGAATATATATCTTTGTGAGGTTAAGTTAGGTATATCATATTTTTTAGTTACATTATTTACATAGACATTTATTGTACAGCTATTGTAAAATTTCGATTCAACGAACTATATTGGACTAACCTGAATTCGTTGCAATGAGGGACTCGTTGCAGTGAGGGATTCGTTGCAGTGAGGGATTCGTTGCAGTGAGGGATTCGTTGCAGTGAGGGATTCGTTGCAGTGAGGGATTCGTTGCAACCGGAGAGGCCTCGAGGATGAATTTCCCAAGCCCTGTGGGGGGAAATTTCACTTAGCAAAATTTAATTTCAACCTATAATATAATAAAACAACTACCAACTGAACATGGCAAAACAATTTAACCACATCGAATCAGGAAATTTCGAGTGATGAATGAGCACTCTGATCAGTCACAATCTCACACGTTTCACCAGAGAAATGAGATTAGGAGAAGATGGATGAGTTCAACCTTTCTATCTCCGTCACCTTCTCAATCATCCTTCCTGCCTATAATCCCGTTATATAACGGACAAACAGCAAGCAATAACAAGACCGGGTTGCGAGAACCATGAATGCAGCCGAGCAGACTATCGTCAAGCGAATAAAACGGGTTATAATGCCTATAAAGTGGACGTGTCATTGTTTGACCAGCCTCTTCACCTTCCTCTCCACGACCGTTCCCAATTCTATAACCCTTGCGACAATTCGCCTCTTCACTGACCTCGCCGTATCTGGGAGGAAAGGTGATTGGAGGAATGTATGTGGGGAAAGGAGGAAGGAAAAGATTGTAGAGGAAAGATGGAATGAAAGGGAAAAAGGAAGCAATAAGGGAAAGCGGCAAAAAGATATAAAAGGGGATAGGTGAAGGGAAAATGTGGGAAGGTATACAAAGAGCAGTAAAGTTTGCTATCGGTATTTGGAAGGGGGAAGGGAAGGTTTTCTTGAAAAGGAAACAGAGCTCTCGAAAAAAGAGAACTTTCGAAAGGAGGAAAACGGGAGGATCTAGAGAGGAAAAGGAGCTGCAAGGGAATTAGGGAAGGGAATTATCAGGAGGGGGGGGGGGGAAGCGCCAAGTCAGTACGACTATATAGCACTGGGAAGGGGTCAAGAAAAGGATTTGGGATAGGACGGGGGGAAGGAATGGTGCCCAACCACTTGGACGGTCGGGGGATTGAACGCCAACATGCACGAAGCGAGACCGTCGCTCTACCGTCCAGCTGTAAGGGGGGAGGAAAGCAGGCCTCGAATAGAGGATAGCTGTCTCTTTCGGCGAGGAAAGAGAGATCTCTCCAGACGAGGAGAATGCTCTCCTGAGGTAAGAAAAGCGTTCTCACAAGGTGTGGAGAGAGTTGCTTCTAGGTGAGGAGAGAAATCTCTCCAATGGAGGTGAGGGAGCTCTCAAGGAAAGGATAGTGGGGCTCGCCAGGGAACTTAGGTCAAGCCGACTTAAGCTGTCTCAGTGTAAAATGAAAAGGAAAGCTCCTGAGAATAAAAGATGAACGGCACACGAGGTCAGAGGTCAAGGAGGTTAGTGTAGGAAAGAGATGCATAATATACCTCGTGGCTCCAACAAAGGGTCGAACTCCCCGGCAGGCGGAAGTGTTCAATAAGGATGTCTTAACTTGATCCCGGACTGGTCAGCCCCGGCCAAGGGACTCCATATCCTGCCTCGTCTGCCGGGAGAGAGTCAGAGGGGAGAGACTGAGGAGAGGAGAGACTGAGGAGAAGAGAGACTGAGGAGATCGGATAGATGAGATAAGAGGGAGAGCAAAGAGAAGGTAGGGAATGGGGAAATGAGCCTTGAACCGAAGGAATGGGAACGTAGTGCTGATATATGGACAGATTGGAAGAGAAAGAGACGAAAAAGAGATGATTGAGTGAAAGAGGGAGTGCTGTGTGAGTGGGAAGAAGAGTGTTAAGGGAGTGGTAATAATGGAGAGTGCTGAGGATAGGAGTGATAGTAAAACTTACTGGGTGGGGAGATGGGTGAAATGCTGTGGAAGTTCACATGGATGTTGCTGTGAGGTCAACTGGGGCAGTTGCAAGTGCCCCAGTTGCATCTCAACCATTCAACACTCAACAACTCCTTAAAGAACTTTAAGGAGCTCCTTAAGAGCTTAAGGGGAGCTCCTTTTGTGGAGCTTAAGGAGTTGTTGAGCAGTGTTTACTATCCTCGTTGCTGAACTGACGACAGGGTCGTAACAGTGGGAATGCCGAGGGTATTGCTGTCAGCTCGACGGGGTTGTTTACTGGGGGTTGACAGAGCCATTTCTGTAGGATTGAGGAGGCCATTTCAGTCGGGGTTGACCGGGCTCTTTCCGTGGGATTGACTAGCTGACTAAGCCGTTGGTGTAGGGACGTTGTCCGTCCTCTCGATAGTACAACGCCACTGGGGACGATCAAGCCATTTCTGTGGGGCTGACAGGCTGTCTGAAGGAATTGAAGGGACTATTGTTGTGTGTGTGTGTGTGTGTGTGTGTGTGTGTGTGTGTGTGTGTGTGTGTGTGTGTGTGTGTATGTGTGTGTGTGTGTGTGTGTGTGTGTGTGTGTGTGTGTGTGTGTGTGTGTGTGTGTGTGTGTGTGTGTGTGTGTGTGTGTGTGTGCGTGTGTGTGCGTGTGTGTGTGTGTGGGGGGGGGGGGTTATGAGGCCTTTTGAGTCACGTTCAAGAAGACTGTTTTTCCTGGGATTGAAGATAGTTTTTGTAGGGTTGAAGATCTCTTCCGGGGGATTGAAGATAGTTTCTGTCGTGATGGAGAGCGTTCATAAGGGGTTGAAGAAGATTGTTTGTGCTCGATAGAGGAGGGTCTTTTCGGTGTTAGTTATAAAAAAAACATTTCTTGTTTTATGACGTGGTCACATTTTTAAATAAGTTAATAAGAAACAATTAAAGCAGCAAGGCAAAATAATTTTTTTCACGTGAAAAAATTACATTAACAACGATTGCAAAATGGCAAATTATATTATCCAGGTTATTAATAAACTCAGCTACCAAGCATTTTTTTCTCTTAGATCTTGAGAGAAAACATATCTAAATATATCTAAAGAATTATCCTACATAACATTCCTTCCAGTGTTTTGTTAATTAATGTAATTTGCATAACTTTATGTCTGTTTATAATATCATTAAAATAATTACATGGACGTATATACATTTTGAAAGTTAAAATTGTGTTGGTGATAAACTGTGACACGGAGGAAGTTTTACGAAGACTCAGCTTTAAGGCGCGTAAGATAGGACATGTTCCAGTGTTGCTTCCGCCCCCCACACTCCTTGCAGCTTCGACCATCACAGCTTTACACGGCTGCTGCTGCTGCTGCTGCTGCTGCTGCTGTTCTGCTGCTGCTGTGCTGCTGCTGCTGCTGCTGCTGTGCTGCTGCTGCTGCTGCTGCTGCTGTGCTACTGTTCTGCTGCTGCTCCTGCTGCTGCTGCTGTGCTGCTCCTGTTGCTGCTGCTGCTGCTGTGCTGCTGCTGCTGCTCCTGTTGCTGCTCCTGCTGCTGTGCTGCTGCTGTGCTACTGTGCTGCTGTTCTGCTGCTACTGTGCTGCTGTTCTGCTGCTGCTGCTGTGCTACTGCTGCTACTGTTCTGCTGCTGCTGCTCCTGCTGCTGCTGCTCCTGCTGCTGCTGCTGCTGCTGTGCTACTGTTCTGCTGCTGCTGCTCCTGTTGCTGCTGCTGCTGTCTCTTTGGAGTTCTCTTACTCCTCATTCTCGATTATTCTCGTCTTTCCTCTTCTGCCTTCACTTTCCTTCGGTTGTTCCACCTTTCTGTCATATTTTTATTACTTCTTTCCTTTTTTCATTACTTGCCTTATTAGTTCTTTCGTTCCTTTCTACCTTCCTTCGAGTTATTCTTTAATATTCCCCACTTTTCTTTCATCTTTCAATCTTTCATTCATTCCTTCCTTTTCCTTATTCCGTTTCATCTTTAATTTTTTCAACCTTCTTTACATCCTTCCTTCCATATTACTCATATTAATACTCCTTTATTTCATTCATTCATTCCTTCTTTCCAATTTTCTTTCTTCTTTTCCATCCTCCGTGTCCTTCGTTCCAACTTTTGAAACTTATTTTGTTTTGTTTTCAGTTAACAAATGTAACTGAAGTTGTGTCTGAAAAACTGAAGGAATAAAATGTTTGACTGAAGTTGTCGTTCCATTATTTTATATTATTAATTGGCTTGGAGGAAGAAGTATTCAGTGAAATGTTAGTTGTCAGATCCGTAGACTTAATTCCTAACTGTGAAAACATATATCCTCAAAATGCTTCCGGAGTCTGCCAGTGCAGACTGCCTATCACATGCCTCTGTATGACTAACCATCCTGTGTGATGGGGATTTTATTTAGCATCACCTAGTTAGCCTTTTTGACACATTGTACTCCACTTCATATAGTCTAGGGTAGCTGCACTAATGCTGATGTACCTCATGTATTAATACAAAAAAAAATAATTAACAGAATTCTGAAGTTTAAAGGCTTTACCGATACACTCACACACGCAATCATTACACTATGTACGTGGCATGCTCCTCAGTACATTATACATACTGTATTCATTATATTTTCTTTGGTAAACTTTCTTGAACTCATAATACATTATACTCATTACGTGCCTGTGCTAGTTAGGTTATTTTCTAATTATGCTCCTTATGCTCATTTCGCTCTTAGAACTCATCATACTCTCATAACTTATTAAGGTCCCTGAACTCATTATATTTTATGAACTTATTTTAGGCTATGCAAAATACTGCCTAAACGCGTTACATTTAATCGACTAATTATACTCATTATACCTATTATACTTATCATTCTCTGCTCGTTATAATGAAGTGCAAATATTTATCATATTATTTATAATTATTTTAACTATTTTTTAATACTCATTATAGTTCATAAACTCATTACATTCTACTCATTAGAAACAATGTTTTCATTACGCTCTATCATCATTTTCCGTCAGTTGAAATTATGCTCTCTGAACTCATACACATTATAGTCCCTGGATTCATTATATTAGAAGACCCCCTTATATTTTAAGAGATTATTATTCTCCCAGTTGTCATTATATCCTATAAATATTTCTCCCAGTATATATACTCATTATGATTTGAACTCATCATTCTCTATACACATCATACTTCAAGAACTCATTATACCTCTTGAATTCGTTATATTTCACAAATTCCTTTTCCTCCATGCATTCATTTGAATTAATTAAACCGCCTTAACATTATACTCTATCAGTTCATTATTTTCCTGTGTCCACAACACTCTATT